CACACCCTGGGGCAGAATCCTGTGCCCATTGGTCATGAAGTTTGTTTGGAGAAATGACTGCTTATTATAGGCATGCAAAACAGTTTGACGCATAGTTGTCCAGAAGGACAATTGCATGGATTATGATGGTATTAGCTGTAATCATCAGGCCTCAGGGGACTTAGAACACGAAAATCATAATATTTCTATACTAATTCATCCATAGATTCTGGTTAAGCACTTTTAGAAAAGAAGATAAATATATACAGCACAATCTTATCTTTTAAAAAGAAAGATGGACTAGCGCTGTATCCATTATAAAACATAGACGTAGAAATCTGAACCATTGGTTTATTATGCTGAGTCAATTAATTATTAATAGACTAAACATGAATAAATCTTTAATCTATAAATCTATTTATAGAATAAATAGATTAAACATTTATCAATATTTCTTCAGGTGTACATTGCAATTTTTGAGGTTATATTGGGGGGGGGGGGGGTAGGGGGTCATGTAATTGAAAACTTTTCTACCTCTGCAGTTATATTCATTGAAAGAATATCAAATGAACTCTCTCTCTCTCTCTCTATATATATATATATATGTATTTAAGTACATAAAGTACTTAAAAAGTACTTAAAATCTATATATCTTCAAATCATGTATAGAAATAGTTTTTTTTAATTAGTTTCGACAAATCTAAATAAATAATACAAATCCACTCCGGTTATCTCCTTATTTGATACAGAGAAGACACAGAATACGTCACAGCTTATCTTCACCATAAATCGTCATTAACGTGGGAGGCGAGAACGTGGAAACTTATCAATTACACAACGTCCAAAAAGTTGTCGAGGACTTCAATTGTTTAAAAAGCAAAAGGAAAGATCTTAAATTCCTTTAGCAACATGATATATGATCATTGTTTCATTTAGCAGATCTCTAAAGATATTGGAAAAACTTCAGAAGCAGATGTATGGAATCACACCGACGTAACACGATTCTACATCACATAGCTGTGTGGATCCGCTGAGACGACGCTGACGATAGGACTTTATTGAAAGTTCATTAAATTTAACCATCTAATTTTCACTAATTGCTATCTTTATTCAGAGAGATGAATAATTAATTGGTTCCTACTAAGACAGCCAATACATAGTAATTGATCACGAAATGCACGGCTTTTACAAGAAGCGCACAACCCTCCGTTGATAAGCGATCTCCACACATCAAATTTGCTTTAAGAATTGTTTTTTTGTTCGCTTAAACGAATTTTTCCTTCTAATATCAGGAGACTAATGATTTGCACTTAGGAAGCAAAATGCGAGGGAAAATTTAATTGCGATGCACTCAAGTCAGTTAATTTGTGGATCATAAATGTACACTTTGAGTAAATTTATATATTAAGGAATTGCAAAGAAAAAAGACGAGGATAAAACATTATGAATTTAGATTCAAAGAATGACATAATATTTTCGAATCTTTGTCAGAATGTTGCTTATTATCTGAACCAATTCGTTTAAAGTATGCAACATTTAAAACATAGTGTTTTATATAGATTTGTAGAAATGAAATGAACATGCTGGAATTATCTCTTGTAAACAAAATCCACAGGCGCTTGACTTTTTAACCTTTCTTTTTATAAATAAAAAATTCTCCATACTATAATAATAACATTAAAAAACGCCAAGTCCCTGTGACAAAAATCCATAATGCAGAAAAAGTTGAATTCCACTCTAATTCCAACCCCCCCCCCCCCCCCCCATTGCTTAGAGTTCACATAATTACATGCAACATTGTTTTTCTCCTTTGTCCGGGAATCTGTGAACAAGATCGTTGAACTGGTAGGTGGTTTGGATGTGATCCTTACGTGTAATATATGCATGTACGTACTTGTATATACATAAGTCAAAGTGGAAGTTATCGACACTTCTTAGTATCTGTTCGATCTAATTACTATTTCATTATGAACTCTCGCGTAACAGAAATATCGGAATCAGTTTCTCTCTTTGAACAATTCTAAAAATTAAGAAAAAACAAAATAAAATTTTAAAATTTGAAATCTTTGTCAACTAAATTTTGCTATTATTTTAAAACGTAAAGAAATCCAATTGAAGCATCTCAGAAATACTTTAGTATTTTTTTTATTCACTCCAATTGTCTTTGCTTCCATTTTCAAAGAATAAATTAAGATGAATGGGGCCAGGCCTGAATGCAGGGAAGAGACATAGATTAATTGTTTAAAAGCTTTGCTTCAACCACTGTCAAAATCAGTTCACAATGGTGTTCATACTTTCAATTCTTTGGCACGTTTGATTTGTCGGGAAAAACTATATGAGAAAGGTGGCACAGGATAGTAAAAATTGCAAAACCCAATATTTGTTTCTGGTGTTTTGTTTTCTTTTTTGTTTGTTTGTTTTTTTTTTTTTTTGTTTTTTGTTTTTTTTTTTTTGGCTATAATAATTTAATAATGAAATAATTTGTGTGCATTTTGAGGGTAGTAGTGTTATTTTTTAAACTTATCTAAAGAGGACATTTTAGTGCAGCTACTAACTTTTCATAAGATTTAGAATGAAATACGAAACTAAACTCAATCAGAAGTTTCTGCGGAGACTGTATCTTTACTACTTATAGATAAAGGAAAAGAAGCGCCTGCATTTAAAACTTGGCAACACCCAGATTTGTGATCCTTGGTTTATTCTAGTACCAAGTTTTATATTGAAATTACATTAAAAGATGCAGGAGTAACATTTCCATCTACTTCGAATCTTATATTAACCATGGCAAGAGCTTTCGTCAAAACCCCAAACCATTTTTGTGTGTTTACTTGTTTACTAAATTTTATTGAAATCTAACTTGGTCTAAAACTGTACGAGGTGTATTTATAGACATCTAACCTCTGGTCTCTGACCAGTAGAGCTAAAATCAGTGTGCCTGTGTAAAGAAAGTTGGGTTCATGATGAAATGTTGCTTGGAAGCCCAACGTCTCCCGATGATCAGAGTAATGCATAGTCAATGGTCTGTATTTTGTGTGGTATCGCAGGACATTGGAATAGCGAAACTCATGTATTTTTGAGACTGTCTCCGTCATTATTTGGGCTCAGTACTTAAGTTGTACGAGTATCTGGTGTATTCCTAAATGCTTAAAAATTCACAGGGGATGGGAACATGTTATTGCTTCATGCAGAGAGATTTTTGATCTGAACGGATTTTTAAGGATACACCAAAGGCTTTTTTTCAAGATTTTCAATAATTTTGAGATTTTTGGCTAAGAAAAAGGAGTTAATCACTGCTTTATAATGCATGCAAAATTTTTGGTAATTATGAAATGGTTTTCTAATTATTTAACAATAATGAAACATAAACACTACCACATGTGAATGTTCCGTTATTGAAGCTTCTGATTTGATCTGTGACTGCCTGCTCATGAAAGACGCAATAAATCACTGTGACCACTTGAGGAATTCTTCACTAGCCACACAGAGGTTATCAGTAATTAAACTACAGGGACTCTAGATTTAGAGAAGAAGATCTAACAGATCACTGATGACCATAAAATAGGAGGTGGAGCTTAGCTCTTGCCATTTTGCCGGGAAATCTTTCTGATTCAGAATTGAACCTATTTTACTTAATTAAAAGCATCTAAATACAGAAAAGAACCTCCCATTCTTGTGAATATGCATGGAAAATATGGCTAAGTGACAGGTATCCAAAGCTGAATCTCAAAGGTGTCATATATTCCTAGCTTTGGCAGATTTTGTTGTGTAATGGGTTTTTGCCCTCTACTGTAAAGTAAGATCAGACAGTTTGTGGTATTATTTCAAAGGATTCAGCTCCCTTATTTATAGACCAATTTCTCTGAAAATTGGATGGGTTACTTTTCAAATGTGTGTTCACAAAACCGTATCTCAGATTTTTGATATCTAGCTTAGTTTTGGAATTATTGAGGGAAATGTTAAATTAGGCTAATAAATTGTTAACATTGAAGGACAAATGGCTGTAACTTTTGAATTAGAAGATTTATCAAAAATCTGAGATACGGTTTTTAAGTTCAATCTTTAATCTACCTTGATGCAAAATTACCACTTTGAGGGGTTAAATACAAAAAAGTTGATTTATAAAATATTTTTGTACTAAAATTTACATTAATATTTAAATAATTTTTAAATAAATTATTAATTAAAGTTTAAATTAGGATAATTAAATAGTAAATTTAACAAGCTTTCAAATGATATATACATTTATTATGTTATCTTTGATAATGAAAGAATTATATGCAAATTAAATTCCGGCATTTGGAAACCTTTGGTGTATCCTTAATACATGTAAATGGACATTTTTAGTGGATAAGAAAGGTAGAAAGACAAAGGAAATTCTTACGGGTGAAACTACGTAGACTATTACTTTATAATAGGGGGGATAAAAGCGCACATTTAATTACAGGTCAACGATAATTGAATTATATCAATTCTGAAAGCCAGGGGATGTATATATACTGCTCGTAGTATAGTAAGAATACAGATTTTATCAGAGGTGGTAACTATAAAAATTTAATGATCATAATCCTTGGTCTTAAAAATAAATCCTAGCTCGACCTCCCAGTTGATGAGCAGATAGCAATGTATTATAAGTTTCGTATTAAAAGATGTTCTAAGAAAATATCCGCTCATATTTTCAAATTTTCTATGAAATATCCTCGGTAATGTCCAAAAGTTTTGCTTAATAATCCACAAATGTCGTTCAAATATTATTGTCTTACTTATTAATCCGCTCAATTATTGTTTTACCCATGATTTTCATAACAGAACAAGGATTTTCTTACAATAAACGCAGTTTATCTTAGAAATAGTTTTTTTTTTTTTTTTTTTTTTTTTTTTACAAACTATTATAAACACATTTCATATCAAAATATATTGTATGTGCATTTGTGGTAGACCAGGCCATTCCAATAAAAACATCGACTAGAATTACTGTTATGGATAATTGGCCTATCAAGCTTTTATTTTTGTTGTTGTTCGCTTTTCAGACGCTGAAATTTAATTAGTTTCAGACTAAAGTAAGCACATCGAGAACGGAATCGTGTTATGATAAAACGAGGAACTGTTAATGATCGCTCTGAATAGGGTATTTGTGCACGTCCAGCCCTTGTCTTCACAAGTGTTTTTATTCAGTGATCGACTCTCATACCTAATCACTGTATATTTCAGCCGGAATTGATTGCCGTTCATTCAAGAATGTGGAGGAGACATTGAACTTGGGAACAGGAGAAAGTCCAAAAGTCTGATCCCGATGGAAAATTTTACAGGTTTAGACGACTTCCGTTTTTTACCATATGTTGGAGAAATAAAAGAAGTACCAGTTTGGGAAATCATTGTGAAATCTATAATATATGGGATCATCACTGTACTTTCTCTCATTGGAAATGTTTTGATAATTGTAATTGTAATGAACAACAAAACTATGAAGACCGTTACAAATTATTATATAGTGAATTTAGCGGTGGCGGATCTAATGGTTACTTTAACTTGTACCTGGGTCACAGTAGTTGACAACCTCACCGAGGGGTGGATTCTTGGAGCATTCTTCTGTAAGGTGAATACATTCACAAAAGGTAGGCATAAGCTTTAACAAAGACTTAAATAATTATCATTTTACCAACTGAATCTTTTACTTTAGAAATTTGTGGCCTAGACTTAAATACATGACCTCATTCTAGGTCGAAACAAACCCTCTTACGAATAAATAAAAAAAATGTCATGATAAAAATCCTTTGTGCAGAGTATTTATTTAGCTTCCAGTACTTTAAGTGTTTAGGCCCTACAAGAAAATTTTCATAATCATATATCCTTTCCAACATATAACCCAGATTAGGGTCTTGACATATCCACTTTTGGATCAAGAATGTGTAAGTTTTCACTGCTTTATGGTAATGAGACACGATAGCATGCAGTAAGTACCGGAACTGAGCTGTGCGACAGATTTCTGACCAGGATGAAAAATTTTCACTTTGGGACTCTGTAACTTTGTCCATACGACCTTAGTCCATTGCTAACACTTTATGATACCTTTATCATGTTGTAAATTTTGAAAATTTTGAATTTACTAGGGGGAGGTAAATGCAAAATTTACAACATGATAACTTGTAAATTTTGCATTTACCTCCCCCTAGTAAATTCAAAATTTACAACATGATACCTTTCTGCAGAGCATGACCTTGCGTCTAATGATCTTCTACTATAAAATAATGAGCCTGACTAGAATGATGAACAACAAGATGGAGAGGCTGATTCCTATACTACAAGCCCTAAAGATTTATTATCAATATAAAGTGTTCAATTTATCATTATTTGCAAATAAAAGTTTACTAAGGTATCATTTATATAACTATTTCGATGGAAGTACAGTGTAGATAATGTAATGTGTAATTAAGCATATTTTTTTGTCATCTTTAGTTAGATACATCTGATCTAGTTACTGTTTAGATAAACAACTGATCAATAGCTCCGTGCTTCAACATTTTTGCTTTCGTAGAAGACTTTTCAGTCCCTCTGTAAATTCCTTTGGAATTAGAGGATTTGCAGTTTTGGGTAACAAAAAATATAAATGCTGCTTCTGAGTTTTTGATGTAAGATTCCTGGAAAGAAAAATTGTTTTTTCTTAAACATTTTGAAATCTATCTAGAGCTGCGATAATGAATGACGTCACCAAGAATCACATTGTAATTAACCATTCGCCTTAGCTTTGGTAAGCGCCTTATATCTGTTTCATCGTGCGTTAATTTGCATTGTTGCTGGTTAATGTAAAAAAAAATCAAAATAAGTATAATAGTTGTTTAAGATTGTTAGCTTTATACATAGTTCAATGTGATTCTTGGTGACGTCATTCATTATCCCAGCTCTAGATAAATAAAAAATTAAAAAGAGTAATAGTAGTTGCCCTCCATTACAATTGAAACTGGCACGTCGTAAAATCATAATTGGCAACATAAACCTGTTTTATGGTCTCGAATGTAAAGCAATGAAAAAGATACAGTTATTTAGCTATGATTATAATGCCACTAGTTACCAAATATTTTTGCATGGTGTATTTTTACTAGCAAGAGTCGTTAAGAATCTTGTAAATAAAGAAAAGGGTAATAGGAAGCAACAAAAATGCAACTGCGCTAGGAAAAAAATATGATAGCATCTGGTATCCTAAACAAGCTCTCTTCAAATTATTAGAGCCACTTAACCAGTATCGTATTGCTTACAAAGACTTTCTCGCTTCTTACATCTGTTCTCGTTTTAAAATACATTGATTCTGTACAGCTTGTTTTCCATGTGAAGCATTCTCTAGGCTGTATAATGACCTTCCTATTGACAGTGGTATATCTGTCAAAGCAATAAGAGCAGCATTCAACAAAACCACGGGCACCTATAGAACATAAATGTATAGAGAGTGAAACAGTTGGAGATATTGAGAGAGAACTGCTACATTGTGCATTTACTGGAACAACACGGTGAACAGAATACAATTAAATGCTTACATGCACGCACATAATAAATATAATTTGAAACGATTTGTTTACGGATAAAAAAAACAAGTATTTAGCTTGTTGCGTTTCCATCAGGTGATTAAGTTTCATATTTTTAATTTCAGATATAAATTGTTGCGAAAAAAAAAATAATTGAGAAAATCAATAAAATTATCAGATTAATGTGTTCGCTGAAACCGATATTCATTTGTCAATATAATGGACTGTTGACTTCATTGGAGTTGACAATTAACCGGTAGTCCTATTTAACGGTCTATTTAAACCAAAATGACGATGCTCATTAGAACATTATAATTATGATCTTTGCCACTTACCCGAATTAAAAATTTAGAAAATATGAATATATGACGATAACGCAAAGAAGAAAACATTTCAATGATCAGCTCTAAGTGGAGATCAACAAAAAAGACGTAGCAACTTTATCAATTTAACGATTAACATATTGTAAAATGTTGCAAACCTTTCTCAAATTCATCTATGATTGTTTAGAAAAAAGATGCCTCTAGGCCTTAAGGAACACAAAGTGTTTAAAACATTTTTTCTTCTGACACATCATCCGATCTACTAATATACATGTATTCCTTCATTAATCATAAATATAGTGCTGCATTAAACCTGCGATTTTTCCCTACAGGAAACTGACTGCAAGTGTATGCCTATAATTATCTAAAGTATCTTTTGACCTCCTTCTCATAAAGAATGTCTCTAGTATACGGAAACAAATCCATTACACTCTTCACTGCAGTAGCTAGCGTGCCTGACAGCTGTTTTTGAAACTCCGGGTTTACTAGATATCTAGCTTTTGCCATTCACCCTTTTCCATATAAATCAAGGAAGTAAATTCTTAAGGAAAAAAAATATTATTACATTTTCGTGCATATATACACATGTTTGCTATTTATTATTGTTAGACTTTTCAAAAATACGATACGGTATTTTGAAAGCACATTCGGTGTGACTAGCACTGTGAGAACTAGGCAAAACAAAACATCTGGTTGTACTTAGTAAAATATTTGTTCACAATGATATTACCCCAACTGTGATGATTTTTCGATGAAATCCTGGCTTAAGATCGGTTGAAGTCAGTGTAATAAGTAATACATTCACTACAAAACTATGTACATGTAATAATAATTCACCCCTCCCCCTCCTCAACATTCGCGCCTTTATTTTTTAAACACGATACATCTATCATGTAGAAGTAGTCGGAAAATAGCTCTTTAGAGCTAATGTTTCTTCTTGTCTTACCCGACTTTAAATGAATATTATCTTATCATCTTACCTTATCTTTAAGTTTGAATTCCATCTGCGCCCCCTGTCATATTTTGAACAGCTTACTACATATATAAGAAGCTATAAAATAAAAAATTCCCGAATTAATTTTATTTTATACCGGGGGTTCTACCAACAGAACCAACATTGTTAAGAATAAATATATCGTAAAAATGTTGTCATGAAATCAAATGAATATAGAGAAAAAGTTTTCCTCTTGAAAATTGGCAGTGCAAAACTCGTATATTAACTCCTTCTCACTTTTTTTAAATGTAACAGGTGAAGATAACGAGTAGTGATCAATCTCATAAATCCAGTTAATAAACCAATCGTTTGTTTGTTTGTTCCCTCCGAGAATTTATCACTTATGTCTTGTATTGAGACGCAACGAGGTTTCAAATTTAGACCTATACTCGGTACTTAGGACCATTGGGCAGCGAGGGATTTTTTTCGTGCCAGCACCTACTGCAACGCGGGACCTTGGTTTATACGGTCTTCCGGGAGGAAGTCTCACTATATAGCCAGTCTTCCGGGGGAAGTCTCAATATGGGGGGAGTTTCACTATACAACACCGGTCTCCACGTTCCAGTGGGATTCGTACCCGCGACGGATGGATCAACTCCTTTCTCCGCGACTCTAGAGCAAATGCTCTAACCACTGCGCCACGCGGGCGACCAAAACGAATCGTAAGCAGGAAAACACCAAATATGGGATCATGTGTCTAGTAGGAGTAAGTTCAAATGAATAATTTGCCAAATGCCTTGGACAGAATCATTAATTTATGATTGGCTTCCGCCAATCACTAAAACCTCTAAATTATTAAAATCACAAAAAGCGCAAGTATCTCGATAACAGTACTTTAATCTGAATAAAAGTCACGTTGAATTTATTTAATCAGTATTATCCTTCTTTACTTCGTCGCTGTCAAGAATCTACGCTTAGAGTATACTCGGGAAATGAGGCCCCAAGACCGCGAAACGGACTCAAGTCAATTTTTTTTAAATAACCTGTAAGTCTTTACACTTAGAGTCTAACGAACATTGGTATTGCAGTGATCAATAATATTTTTATTTTGGACTGTTTGATATCTACATCATTTCAGCGCAACGTACAGATTTTGACTTAAGTGTTTCATATTCTTGGGGCCTTTTTTAACATAATAAAGTTGTTATTAAACAAGTCATTTACGAATATGAATGCTTATAGACCTTGCACCAAAGGGTGCTTATTGATGATCATATTTCTGAACGCGAGCTGTATTTTCCAGATGAGTGACCATGTTAGAATAACTCACAGAAGGGTAGGGGTGTCATTTTCATAAGATAACAAGTCCAACATCGACGAAATTTTCAAAAAATGTTGACTTCAAAGATACAATGGTTATTTAAGCGATGAATTTAATTTTGAGAATTCATGAGGATATGAACTACGACGCTTCACGCCAGCTTTCATGAAGCGCATTAGCGCTTCATGATAAATATGCAGGCGTGAAGTGTTGTAGTTCATGTACCTCATGAATTCTCAAAAATTAAATTCATATGTTATATTTACATTATTTTTCTGATGACTTGCCACATATTTTTGTCATTCAACGATCATTTTTGAAGAAAAAAAATTTGCACTATTTTTTGACCAGTCACATCATAATGGAAATATTCTTACTCATCCCACGGTAGTTCATGAGAACCTGAATTTTTTCTAATTTGCAAAGAATCTTAAGGAAAAATATTTGGAAATGTAAATATTTAATGATACCAAATATTTTATACGCTGCATGTAACCTACATTTGTATTTCACAGCTTCAGTATTAGATTAAAGCTTTTCTTAAAAGCATATTACTCAAGCAATGGCAAGTCTTTCACTATCCAAATCTGAGTCTGCCCTACACACTGAATATACACTACTTGTCAAATCCTTCATTTACAACGTGGGTTTAAAAGGGAGACATTTTCAAAAATGACTACACAACAGTGTGGTATTTCCTTGACAGTGGATTCTGTAGTGGTTTTAAAACTTCTCTCGGGAAAAAGTTTTTGTGAAATTTCCTAACATATATAAATTATCACTGAGTTTCTTTTTTTCCAGTTCTTTCCCTTGTGGCAAGTGTGCTTTCCCTCACACAGATTGCATATGATCGATTCTTCGGAATCGTTTTTGCATTAAGAGCCCGGATGACAGAAAGAAGAGCTAGCATTTCTCTAGTCATCATCTGGATCTTCTCAATAATTGTGGGTATACCTGTGCTCTTCTTCCGACAACTAAAAACACGAGAATGGATGGACCATACGGAACTTTGGTGTGACGATAATTGGCCGGTTGAAATAGAAGTAGTGGGTAATGTCACACGATACACAATGCCCTTGAGGACAGCTTACTTTGTGTCAGTTTCTGTGGTGCTGTATTTTATTCCAATGGTGGTAATGTCCATTGCGTATGGAGTCATTATACTTAAACTTAAGACGACACATATTCCAGGAGAAATTATGGACAAAAGAGACGAACAGCAGGCTAAAACAAAGAGAAAGGTATAATAATGAATGATTCCATTTTCTGTATATATACATTGCAAAGCTTTATAGCTTATTTAACACCCATTTAACAATTTATGTTTGATATAAATTTAAATAGAGGCCTAGGGGCCTAGAAAATTTCAGAAAAAGCAAAAAATCAAACTATACATGTATAAAAAGTTTTCAGGGTGCATCAGCTGACAAGGTGTAGTATTCCTCATAGTGTAGGAGATGGGTGGCACACCCCATGATGTAATACTTTTCAAGAACTGATGATTTAAAACATAGTATTAGAGTTATTTGACCAAATAATGTGTAAAATTCTAGAAATGTTGCTGTGCCCCATCTTTGGTTACAAATATTCCAAGACACCATGGCAAATCAATTGACAAAAGGCGCATGGGCCACAACGCTCACCTGAGTAACTTTCGTCCTGGAATTTAGAAGAGTAATCATTAAAAAAATTATTCTCCTTTAAATTCAAATGAGAAGTTGTGAAACCATATTATTCCAGTCCTCACTTTAAGGGGTCTTTGAATCTATACAACATGAGGATGCTTCAATATGATTTTGAATAAAAAGGCCTGCAGCTACTCCAAATTCATAAATCTAAAAAAAAATTGAATTATTATTTTTTTTCTTTTTTACTTGTGTGATAGCACCCTAACAATTACCTGATTTACAGAAACCATAGAGCATAACAGAAAAATCTAAATCAATTTACATTTTTTTTCGGCCCGAGCACTTCCGGTCGCTATCGAAAGTGAATTTTAAAAATTGCATTTTCTGTCTTTCAAACTCAAGAAATCACGTTTTGATATTTGTAAACATGTATTTGTGACATCAATCGATAAAAAATGATGTCTTGTGTACGAATGGGATGTTTTTGGTCTTGTCATTTAGTTCGGAATGTCTGCAAGTTCGGAATGTCTGCTTCTTCTCTTGTGAACCGTCAGGGTAGCTCATTCGGTAGAGCGCTCGCTTCGTGATCGGAAGGTCGTGAGTTCAAGCCCCTGCAGCGACTGACCTAAGTAGATAAAAATAGGTCGCAATTGTTCCTTTGCCAAGCGATCGGCACTTGAAAGTTGCAGATCCTTCGGATGAGACCCTGAAAACCGAGGCCCCGTGTCACGACAGGCATTGGCACGATAAAGATCCCTCACTGCTCACTGGCCCTCAGTGCCAAGTTAAGGTATAAATTTGAATCCCTTCACCGGTACATGTATATTGTGACGTCTCTATATGTGTGAAGAAATTCTTGAACGGGAAGTAAAACAACATTCAATCTATCAGTCTTCTATGATGACACTGAACAACAGCTTTATGTTCTTTAATATCATTTCATGCAAAGGGTATCCTAACCGCCTTTCAGTACTTTGATTAATGCGAGTTATGCACTTTCGGTGAAGACAATTTCACTTTTTATTTAGACTTGCCAACTTTTTGCATAAATGCATTATATTGATTTGATGCAAGCAATGAATCGTAGATTGGTTCTCGTTGACTTGTTTTACTAAGCCTAACTGCCATTCATCGTTAATGATTTGCATATTGTATTGTATAAGGATATCTGGTCTGATTTTGCAGATATAGTGATACTGGAATTTTTTAATTATTTTTTTCCCAAATTCACCATTTTTTAAAATCTTATTCGAGCACAAGGCTTATTTGACGTTTATGAATAGAGTTTTCGCATTTCTGACTTCTCGGTAACTTAAAAGTAGAAAGCAAACGTAGCATTAAACATCATTAGGTAAAGCGATTACAATTTGCTAGAACTTTCCCATATGAACTCGATGCAAGTAGGACCAATTCATGATCTATTTGATTAAGGTAACAAAAAAGTCAATTATAGAAAGCAAAAATCCTTAACAAGGAAAGGTCAAAATACTAGTCCAGGAATTTTCCATTGCCACGTGTAGGGCCGAATATAGGCCCCATTCCCAATTTCAAAGTCCCTCCTTTTCTCCCAAAAATGAACCCACAAAGTTGACTTGATCAAAAAACTGGTAAAAAAAACATGGCCAGGTTTAGAAATCTGAATGAAATGAACAAAGTTTTAAGAAACTTGGCTAAAATATTATATAATTGGTCTATTCTCTGATTAACAGTTCTGAATAATTAAGTAAAAGATCAATTTTATTCATCATAAGAGTTTATTTCTTGAAAAACATCATGCAATAAAATTCCCCAATGAGTGATAAAATGTCGTTAAATTCTCAATTCGAAGGGCCTGGGTCCCATTCCTAAAATGGAGGGGAAAATCCCTGTTAGTCGGTATTCACAGAATTACTTTAGAAGGCATTGTGACATTGATTTAAAACATACCCCTTTTTAATCGGAAGACTTCAATTTATATACACATAAAGGATTTCTGTGCGGGAACAATAGTTCAATACTGATAGAAAAAAATGAAAATCCGTAAAAAAATGTGAGAGAGTAAAAAACAATTCAAGTTAATAATTTAATTTGATGTCCAAAGTATCAAAAGTCTGTTAATCTCTCTCGAAGGTCCAAGGTTACTTAGATGTACTTGACGAACAAATCTAACAGGACGTCATACTGTGCCAGGTAAGGGTATATTTTCAGAGGTAGTTTCTCCAAGATGTCTTGTAGGCCCGTTCCTAAAAAGATTTATTCTTTCAGAAAGTTTGTAAACAAAGATTATTTTAGCAAAGCTCTGGCCATCCCCGGGGGAGGGAGGGAGGGGATAGGATTCCGGATAATTCTTTCTCCTACATCTTATATTTAATGAGATTTCATTTTAGAAGTTCATTAATGGTTCATAACACACATAATAGTCCGATTAGAAAATTGATGAAATCAAAATAACCACAGAAATATTTGTTTTAAAAAATCCTAATTGTATTGGAACCATTATTTTACATATTGTTGCATTTTCATGATCAACATATACATTGTTGCAGTACTTTTTTTTTAAACACGACATTAAATGGAAAAATTAAAGATAAACATGGATTAATTTTATAAATCCCATAAATGATACAAATTTGAAAAAGGCAAAACGTGGGTTCCTGCAATACAAACAACAAAGGTGAAATCAGGAACCTAGGAGGAGAAAGCATCTGTTTATCGGACACATTCGCAATGAGTTCTCTTATTGATCAGATAAAACAATTAATCCTTATCAAAGTTAGTTTAATAACAATGGTCTAACAATTGGTATGAAACATGTTATTCAAAATAAAATGCAACGATAGGTGTATTTGCAAACAACGTCATCGAATTTGCAAAATCCTTAATGTAAACAAGACCGTAAAACCCCAGTAGCATCAACTTATAAGTCAGTAGCCTATTGCGATCGATTTAAAAATTGATCGTACACAGAATATGTTTTAACGTATTGACTAAGTTGGGAGACATGCAGGGTGGATATTTCACGTAAATATTTCTGAATCATTCCCTTTATCATGTGGTTTAATTCTTAAATTGCCGATAACGTCAATATTCAGTAAGTCATGAAGCAGATGTGGCATACTATGTTGGTCTAATTTCGAGTTCACTGTGATACTCCGAATGAAAATATGAATGAAAATTGTTAGCATAAAAGTGTCGATATACTAGTATTCAAATGTTAAATTGTGTCGCCCGTGTGGCACAGTGGTTAGAGCGTTCGCTCTAGAGTCGCGGAGTAAGGAGTTGATCCTTACTTCGTGGGTTCGAATCCAACTGTGGAACGTGGAGACCGGTCCTTCGGATGAGACCGTATAAACCGAGGTCCGGTGTCGCAGTAGGTGCTGGCACGAAAAAGATCCCTCACTGCAAAATGGCCCTGTGTGCCGAGTATAGGTCAAAATTTGCAGCTCTCCAAAGGCAAGTGGTGGCGTCAAATTATGAGTGAAAAATTCTCGAGAGGGACGTTAAACAATAAACAAACAAACAAAACAAAATGTCAAATTGAAGGTCACAGCAAAAATGTTCTCATGTGAATTTTTTTTTAAATAAATTCAGCTTCATTAGCGTTGATATAAAACAAGTCGGCTAACAAAGGAGCAAAATTTGTTCCCATGAAAACTCTATATCATTTTATGAAAATATGCTCAATATGAATAACCCAAATATGGTAAAGTAAACGTGTTATCAAAAACCATGTACGCAATATTGTAAAAAAAAAAAAAAAGAAAAAAAAAAGTAAGTTAGTTCAGTATTATACATTCCGGGATATCCAGCTTAAATAAAATCATGTACGTATAATTGATGTTACTAAAATCGATCTCATCTTGGTTTGTCGTTAATCGTGTTATTAAAGTGTCTACACATTCCAATGTTATTTCAGTATTCATAGTCAAACTGCCATAAAATGTTGAGATGTCAGAGCAGAAATAACAGAAGCGATGCGAAAAGTGGGTAATAGGCGAGTTCCAAATGTTGTGTTGAAAACAGATGTCTACGAAAAGAAAAAGTTCTGAAAATGCATTATAATTTAATTTACTAAAGGATTTCAGGTTGATAAGTGTTATTCAAATAACTCGCCTAAAAATTATAGATCATGTAAGTCCAACCCCTCTTCCCACCTATTGCTGTGAGAAACTGAATGTGTGGAATATTTATTAATCTTGCGCGATTATTAATCTTTGAAATTTTTTTTATAGTTCTGATTCTCTCGTTGAGCACACGGCAACATTTTTATTGCAGTACAAAATCGACGACTTATCGTTAGGAATGTTCTACCTAGCAAACTGCAATTATTGCCACGTGCTGTACGTAGCTTTTGCTTAGATTTAAATCTTTGGAGTACAAACATTTATAAAAGGGGGATCAATAATTTTGATTTCTTTTTCCAGTCCGAGCATATAAATAAACCTTTCAAAAAACATTTTAGTTCAATCTTCACTTTCTCCAAGTTATTCTGACGTTATCTCATGGAAATGTCTTTCTACAGTTGTGAATTAACACACATCTTTTCCTTTAGTAATCTAATCATTGTTGAAGTATTTACTACCACATTATTTTTCCGCAGAAACTACTAAAATACCAAAACACCTATATACCAC